TATATATATATATATATATATATATATATCGCACTCAAATGGAACCATGGTACTCAACACATAAGAAAATATAAATCATGCCAGATGTCCAGATGTGAGAACTAAACAATGCAAAAGTGTATTCGCTGTCACAATACGGTTTTGTACAAAGACAATACCTCGTAGCGTTCACACTTGCTTCTCAAACTTTCATTCTAGAGCCTTTACTGGTAAGATCGAGAAATAACAATCCCCGTACAAGGCTAAATCTAGTGCTGACCGATCGGATGAAGATTCTTATAGCCACTATACAAGTATCGATGACAACGACGTTGACAAATCGCGTTCTAGTATTGCGATGACTATTATTTTAAAAATATTTTTTTTCTTGCGGCTTCTTTCTGATCTGATCGTGTAAGATCCGGTCTATTAAGGCGATATCAACGCTTTAGAGTAAATAAACGCGTAGGTAAATTCTAAGTATCGTAAAAATATCAAAGTAAATAAACGAAATGAGACTTTTAGTAAAGTTAGGTATGCCTCATGAAAACAGCAATACTCTGAGGGATTGTGAGGCTGAGACATTACCTATATATAATCCTCTCAGTACTGTTTCCGCCGAAGGGATTTTAATTAGTGTTTCGATGTCGCTCTATTAGAAACTATGGTAAATTTCATTGGGGCGAATCCGAGACACTCATAAAATCCTATCTTTAGAAGAAAAGAAGTAAAAAAAATGCTCTTGATGTCCTTAGTTATTATCTTAACCAACAACTTGCCACTTATCAAGAATTACCGACTTAGCCTTCATCAGACTGGCACATCTGCTTGGTTGATCGGAGGATCAACTAGGTAACGTTAATAGTCCCTAGAAACCTATATTCGGTTGAGCCATCTCGCTACCGAAGTATTCAGATATATATAAAGTTAGAAAATAAATATAGTTCTATTAATAGAACTAGACCAACTCTTATGTTTGGTATTTTACGGCCTTATAATGGCCTCGTCCAAATATCCGATATGTAAAATGGAAAAGGTATTAATTAATAAAACTATTAAAAACCATTTAGGAGACTTTAGTTCCTCGTACTATTAAGAGTACGTTTATAATTTACGTACTGCTTAAGAGTACGTTTATAACAGAGTCTAATGTGGAGGCCCGGCTATTACAATCCTGAACCATTCATAATTAAGATTGTAGCTGAGTTTCAAACAAAAGACGTCGCTCATCAGGGGGGCATACACAGCCTTCACAAAATTCATCAGGTCGCTTAGCAAAACAACAGCCCCCTGTGATTGCGTAAGTGGTTTTTCCCCGATGCTCAACTATGTCGTCCTCCTTTCCACAGATTGGGTTACACACACTGTGCCACTTTTGTTTGCACATAGTGCATAAGCATGTCTCCGATTTAGGAATTACAGTTACGAGGCAAGGCCTACACTCCTGCTTACAAGTAACCCATTTAGGAAGCTCCGACATTACCGGTAGTCTATGTGTGTGCGAGTTTGAGTGTGCCTATGTGTGTGCTAGTTTGAGTGTGCCTATGTGTGTGCGAGTTTGAGGGTGCCTATGTGTGTGCGAGTTTGAGTGTGCCTATATGTGTGCGAGTTTGAGTGTGCTTATGTGTGTGCGAGTTCGAGTGTGCCTATGTGTGCCTGCATAATGTACCATTTAAAAAAAAAGTATTGTGTAAATACAATAAATAGTCATAATATCATTTATAATATTATTTTCTTAAAATAAATGTCGATTTATACATTTTTATTAAAATAAATATCTACAATTTCAACGTTTCAAGAAATCACAATCGCCATGATTTGATAAATCGGATCCAAACACAAGTTTTCTGCCCCAAATTTTGTAGGTATGGTCCTATTTAAAATTTACTCAACCCGATATCATGTCAGCCGAAATTTTAAAAATTCTGAATTTTAGGTAGGAGCAGATGTGTGAAAAATTGGGAATTGAGAATCCTGCGAATCGCAGGATTGATTGAGAGGGTCTCATACAGTACCTAATTTTAGTACTAATAATTTCATTGTTTTTTTGGGTCGTTTTGTATTGAATTCCTGCGACTCGCAGGAATGTCAGTCGGCACGGGTGATATGTGATATGTATACTTCGCATTTCACAAGACTGTGACACTGAAGCAGCCATCAGCTGTGAGTGCACCAGGCATGAGACAATGCATGTCCCAGTCATCGGCTCACCGCCGATGGTGTACAGGAGGTATGCGACTTTGGATCACAACGTCGGTACATGTTCGTACAGCGCCCACTGGCCCAGTGCCCGGTCTGAGTCTCACACTCCCCAGCCCCCCGCACTCTTCTGGTAAATGGAAAAGTTGTCAATGTTCTTCCTTATGATGAATAAATGCATGTCGTAACTCTCTGTATGCAGACTTCAATAATAATAAAAATAAACATAGCCTTCTTGTATGATTCAGGAGGCTATGAAATGATTGATGCAGGAGACACGTGAGAAGGCCTTTTTTTTAAAAGTTCCATCATGAAGGCAATTGCACGAGAGGTACTGGGCTCTGGGGTAATCGAAAATGAAAATCCACGAAAAGTGTGATTACTCCCCTCAATGTGAGATGTGGACTGTAACATATACAACCCGATCATCTGGAATCGCTTGCTAGATTAGGTGGATTTGAAATTTTCAATGTACCCGGAAGATTGGCTTTTAGTATAAACATGGATTTGAAACATTGACGACAATAACCTGGTGTCTTGCTACAAAATGCTACCTTTGACTACTGGTTGCACTCATTTGCAGTACGTTCATCTTCCTAGCTGTGAATCTCTCCGTGTTTATTTTATTCAAGTAAAGTGGCGCAGTACGCCTGAATTGGCACAACAACCTAGCGCATGCTAACCCTGCGAATAGAAATGCTTTTAATATATATCATAACTGGTACTCCGTGGTTCAAGTATTTAAACAGTATCTTGTACCGCAACAATTGAAGACGAACCCTCGTGCTTCACGTACGGTCTACTAATATGTGTCGATTTGCATGTGCGAATTAGCGTTCTTCTCTCGCGAACGAACAACGTCTATCGCAGTCGGAAGCCTGGTCGGCCCTATTGTATGTATGACAGACGGTTGGCTGTTAATAGTCTCATCACTTCGCTGGTATCGTCGCGTTATGTGAATGCTGTATCTTGAGGCATCCTAATATTGTGCTTTGCCCTTCTTTCTGTGAGCAGCAGTGTTTTACATACAATGCCGACCTGGGAATTCAATTGCTTTCCGTTGGTCAACAATATCTGGCAAACGAATTGTCAGGGGTCTGATGAAGCACCCGAATTGTTCATAAATGTTAAAATGGGTCGGAACCCTCCCCTCCTTAGAAACGATCCAGCATATTCCTTTTCTCGATTATGGCCCATTTCTTGTACTCGAGACTGGTGTACACCTCAGGCATACAATTGTCAACTATGAGTTTTGTCACGTGAGCTACGGCGTCGCGAAATAGGGGTTCGGTGGTTGCATAATATGTTCCCTCATTGTTAATCAAGTCCAATATTTTCTGGCGACAACTTTGGTCTATATTAATTTGCAGAGGGCTGGATACCTCAATGAATTGTGCAGCTATCGAAAATACCATACTGATCGATAATGGAGCAGTCTTGTTGCAGGCATACACTGCGATCAGAAAGTCGACATGCTCTTCACATCGCAGTCGACGAGCTACATCCTGTACGATTCTCCGCTGCATGTCAAGTTAGAAACGATTTAGTAGGTGAACAAAATTCAATGAAGAGTGGTAGTATTAATCATTTTAGCTGAACTTAATCACACTTGCGGATAAATTTAAAGGTACTTTGAAAATGTGTGCTGGTTTTGTATGAGTATTTTTTTTACCAGTCGACCATACCGTGTTCTTGTTCTCGAGCAGTTCTTTGACGCCCTTGTTCCGGTTTTCGGCTTCTCGATAGTGCTCGCCTACCATGTCTATGTCTACCAGTGCGTTCCCAGAACTCCATTTGCGACTTAAAACCCTTACGACAATCATCGCGAAACTCTCCATCGAAAGGGTCACCAACATGAACCACGGTTGGTAAAAATACAGATACCAATTGGCCGCTCTGTCTTCCTGGGTTATTACGTATACAATTATTGCCCAAGCGGAGAGAGAAACTATAGTATAAGCCCTGAGGTTGCTAATGTAGTCTATGAAGCAATGACGCGCTTCCCGACCCTTCCAGGCACAGTAATAATAATGTATGTTATGAATAGCCAGAAGAGCGATCACCCCAGAGTAAAATTCGAATTCACTGCAAATGTGGTTTCCATTATACTCGCAGTACATCAAACTCACAAAGTGTGTGCAAAACCACACAACCACATATGCAATAGGTAGCACCCAGTATGGAACGCTAATACGTTGTTCGCAGAATAAATACTTGATATTACTCATGCGTGCCAAATTTGGTATAAGAATCATATTAAAACAAAACGACAGACACAAGAACGACCAGAAAATAGCGGTCTCCCAATCTGAGTTCACGGTTCCAGTACTAAAGTCGATCGCTTTCAGGGGCATCATCTGGAGTGACAATGCAGCCGTCAATACTGTCACCACTTCTTGAAGTAACCCTATGCCAAGGAGGTGGAGAAAGAAATCGTGATCGCGGCTGCGGATCTCGGGTTCATTCCAGTATACAAGTACGAAGGCAAACAGGCAAAGGATAAAAATGATGGTGGGTATATGACAGATGAGGATGTAGTCGAATTGCTTGCTGCCACCAGTCACTACGAGTATATTCACATTTTTTTCCGTCCCGTATGACACCCAGAAGAAAAGTGCTGCTATGCCAAAGGCCAATGGATATACCAGCAAAGCCAGTAGAAAGGAATATCGGGTGGCCCTTTGACGTAACGCTTCGGACTTCTCTGCATAGGCTAGCTCCAAATCCCTTTGAGATACTGCGTTCGCACTACCTCCTGAACTGCTGTTGCACACGTTGTCCGTGATGGAGTTCACTTCTTGCTGCATTAGCGATCAGCAGAATAAAAGTTTTTACAAGTGTTCACGTTGCTGCGTGAAAAACTCGTAAAATAACGGCGGCATTGTAGCTTAATGATAACGAAATCAACAAGATGGCTCCTTCACTTAAAGGCAAGGATCGAACAAGACGCAACAGTATATAGCTATAAATAAAAATAATGATAATCCATAGATAGACGAAATAAAGCGAAATAAAATGTCCATATTTATGGGTACATGAACGACATACATACATACATCCATAAATCCATACACAAATAATATATATATAGTTTATATACATATATATGTATGTATGTGTGTATATACATATACATATAAAAATATTTATATATATAGATATATATATATGTGTGTGCGTGTGTGTTTGTATGTACGTATGTATATGTATGCATGTTTGTAAGTATGTATGTTTGGATAAAAATATGTTTGTATATAGATAGATATAAGTATATATATATATATATGTGTGTGTATGTATCTATGTATGTATACATACATACACACACACATATATATATATGTATGTATGTGTGTGTATGTGTGTATATATGTGTATGTGTATAAATAAATGTGTATGTGTATAAGTATGAGTATGAGTATAAGTATGCGTATATGTGTATGTGTAAGTGTCTATATATGTGTATATGTGTATGTATGTGTATATGTATTTGCATGTGTATATGTATATGTATATGTGTACATGTGTATATGTGTATATATGTGTGTGTATATGTGTGCATGCGTATATATATATATGTGTGTATATGTATATGTGTACATGAGTACATGAGTATGTGTGTGTATTTATGTGGTGTGTGTGTGTGTGTGTGCGTGTGTATGTATTTATATATATATATATATATGTGTGTGTGTATGTGTTTATTTATATATATATATATATGTGTGTGTGTGTGTATGTATGTGTATAAGTGTGTAGGTAATATGTATGTACGTATGTATGTATGTATGTATGTGTCAAAATTTGCAAGGTTATATATAATTGCACACACACACACTCATATATATATATATATACCTATACATATATATATATAATTTATGTATATATATATATATATATAATTTATGTATATATATATTTATAATTTATATATATATATTTATATATAGATATAGATATATATATATCTATATCTATATATATATATAGATATATATATATATCGTTATAGATATATAGATATATATATATACATGTTAATGCCAAACATATATATCTGTGCTCATACATACCCATATGTGTTTGGATATATGCATAAAAATCGAATTAGATGTCTGTATACATGTACTACTTTTTTTTGTTGATATTATTATTTTTGTTGAAGTTTCAAGATGAAAGCTTATAACATCATGGACTGTATTGTTTTAAAATAGAATTGCATTTTTGTACATATCTGCATACACAGACGTCACAGTTTGTATGAGAGGTTTATGTGTGAAACTGAATTGTAATGGTTCTCCATAATTTGCTTATTGCCGCCCAATGCAGCCAATAGAAAGTGAATACAATTGTCAGTATATATACATACTGATACACATACTAATAGGTGATGACAATTTGAGAATAGATACAAGAACGCTCGTAAACATATATACATAACAGAACACGTCAAGAATTGTTTTCAAAGCACATCTATTGCAGCTATATATGTATCGTTTGGTATGAATGTAACAACATCAATTAAGCGTTTAAATCTACACCTTAGAGATTCGGTTACAATTTAATTCATACACGCACACGCACACAAACAAAGTGGTCATAGTGACGTACATATCTGCGGTGCGAAGCACAATCTGCAGTACGAAGTACGTGTCTGCATAAATGTATCAATCACGTATGTATTAGCTAGTTCGTACACATGGTCTCTCAGATACTCGCCGGAATGAAACGGGCTACCATAGTAATATACTGTTCGTAGTAATCATATAGCACCTATCGATTCTTTACATAAAATCTTTCAATGCACGTTTACGCCAGCTAGTTCGTAAGCACAGCCTCTCACGTACTTGCCGGTGCGAGATGTGCCATCATAGTAATACATTGTTCATGGTATCATATTGATTCCAGAACATATGCGGATAAACACAAAGTTGGCGATAGATAAAACGTAGCCAACACGTACCACGACTTCTAGTCACGAGTGTACAAAATTAGTCTCAATAGACTTACTCTGGGCCTATAACCGACACTGGTCAGCGTCAAAATGGAATATATAGACACGATTATGTTAAAAAGGTATACATGCAGATGTACCAGAAATAATAGGACTTATGTAGACATACCTTATACACCTGTATTGAACTAAAGACAGCAGATCCATCCGTTGGTAGGTCAATCTTGCCGTTACAATCGACTTTGCTCGTTAAGGACATTGTCGAGACCACCTTAGTGTTCTCCCGATCGATACCGCTCATAGTTAACACAGCACAGAGCGACTTCACTTCACAATTATCGATTGAACTTGAATGCACTTATCTATCGCGTGCATAGTATAGACAGTATTATCATTTGGGTTTGCTCAGGTAAACGAAGAAGTATATACCCAGAGTCCCAGACTCAACTCTCAACTCGCCCAGTGTCCCCGCCAGAGTCCACCACCAGAGAAGTCCCAAGTTTGGCCAAGTCCTTTTAAAGTCCCAACCCCGCATAGCAAGATTCGAATTAACATATTATTTTTTATTTATATCCATTACTCACTCACAGTCTCGACTCTCGACTCTCGACTCTCGAGTCTCTACTCTCTCTCTCTACGACATACTAAAATAAATACGATACTGTAACAGAGAGAGAGAGTATACAGTGAGTACTACTGTAACTCAACAGAGTACTATTTTTAAACTTTTTAAAAAATACATCGAACATAGCCTTCCTAACCTCAAACCGTTTTCCGTTAACACTATTGTAAATCGAATAAATATACGTTTACGATCAACTTTTATTCCAAATCCGGTCCCTTGTACGCTTATATGTGCACTTTACGGGTCTAAAGATTTAAATGTGTACCGATTTTACCATAGGATCCAGTCCTATAAAAAGAACAGGTAGGCATTTCTGATCACCATATAACCGATATAACGTTTTAAAATTGAATAAATATGCGTTTACGTTCAACTTCTATCCCGTACCCCCATAACGTAATGAGCTTAGTAATAAGCCTGCTGTTGCATTCAGAAGGCTATGCATATTTAGAACAAAAAGTAGATATTTGTTAAGACTGTGACCACTATGACTGCGACTCTCGACTGCGACCACTATGCCTGCGACTCTCGACTGCGACCGCTATGCCTGCGACTCTCGACTGCGACCACTATGCCTGCGACTCTCGACTGCGACCAGATAATATAAAAAATATTATCCCTATACCTGCGACCGGGTCTTGCGACCACTATGCCTACGACTCTTGACTGCGACTACCATGCCTGCGACTCTCGACTGCGACCAGTAACACTGCCTCTCTCACAAATGTTTCTATTGTCATACCTACGGTGAGAGATACAGAGTAACGGAGTGATAGAGTAGTAATAGTATTATTATAAATACCTACCGTGCAACCAACACCCTTTCAAATTAAAGAAAGGGAGAAATATATAAATGATACATGCCGTTGAGAATTATTTGTCATTAGGACGATGTGCCACTAATGAACCGGCATTGTATGGCACACGGGCTTTGTGTAACTAGGTATGTACTATTCATTGTCTGTCGAAAGAATCTATCAACAAAAAATGGCAATTCATAATCATGGCTTTATACTCATAATTGATTTTTTTATTTATGTTTCCACCCTTCTCAGATTTGTCGATTGAGTATGCAAGGAAAGAAGAAGAGCTTGTGACGTACAGGTATAGTATGCTGTATATTCTTTCATATATCATTCCGATTGTTAAATTGGTGTCATTCCCAATCTCACTGCCATATATTGCTTGTATTCACTCACAGACTCACTGAACAGCATGAATGAAATGCTTCTGGAAATGTGTATTCGACCGTTGTAAAAGAACGGAAGGCAGATCCGTTGTATGTGACATCAGAGAGTGGAAGGCCGTTTCGTTCGATGTGACATCAGAGAATGATATATAATCCTCTCAGTACTGTTTCCGCCGAAGGGATTTTATTTGGTGTTTCGTTGTCGCTCTACTAGAAACTATGGTATATTTCATTGGGGCGAATCCAAGAGACTAATAAAAACCTATCTTTAGAAGAAAAGAAGAAAACAAATCTTGATGTCCTTAGTTATTATCTTAACCAACAAATTGCCATTTATCAAGAATTACCGACTGAGCCTTCATCAGACTTGCACATCTGGTTGGCTGATCGGAGGATCAACTAGGTAACGTTAATAGATACTTCCCACGAATCAAATCCATCGACCCCAACAAATGCCAGCAATAAAACCCCTATTTATTTCAAAAATGGCAAGTATGTATGATACAAAGTATGAACATATGGAATGGCTCTCATAGTCGCTGTAGTGGTTCAGGAAAGATTGATGGGAAGAAGTGGTCAGTAAATTCCCGTTTGAAGCTTGGGCCAAGTGAGTCCACAATGGAAGATATGTGCTGAGTCAATTCGGGCCGGTGTTGACAAAACACTGTTACTATCGAATGTTCCATATATTCGCTTGCTGACCTACTAAGTACAGTACACACCTCTGTGGTATGTATCGGGTCTGCGCCGTGTAGTGCCGCGGAATGAGTTAGTGCAGAGTACGAAATACCGAGAAGGACCAGGTTATCCGTCATAATCCGGTCGAGAAGCGAGGATGGGGGTAAGCCAATGCCGCACCAGACCACGGATGAATTCGGTATGTGTTGGCTGGCCTGGATCGGAAGTATCATAGTCGGAACCAACAAGCGCGATGATTTGGTTTGAACCGATATTTGGAATTAGTACTTCAACAGGTATGGGGAGCATTTGTTGATGTGTCAGGGACGGGTGAGGGTATGGTGGTTCTTCAACATGCTGGAGAAAAGATCAAAGGTGTTCGTGGAGGGTCCAGATACCGTGGAATTCATGGCACTCCTGTAATTGTTGAAGGAGGTCAGGGCCAATGGGCGGCAGTTTCGGGCCTACCAGGATGCGTCGAATCAGTTGTTGCATGCAGGTAAAGTGGCTGTTAGTGAACTTGTGGCTACCGGGGCAGACAGGGCAGAGACAGCCGTCGGTGCGGTAGTCGAGCAATGTGAACATGTACGTATTCGTTACAATCATAGCACAGAGCCGGATTGGTGTAGACTCGAAGCAGCGATTGAAGCTGTCGTGTCTGGCTGTGTCTCGGTTTGAGGTTGGCGGTTTACCCATAACCAGTTGGTAGTAGTATTGGCGCCGGGCCATTGCCGCGATCTCCTTGTTGGACCAACGTTTTGTTGAGTTCTTCCTGATGTCGTCACAGCGTTGGCGGAGGGCTACATGGTCGGGTGTACGCCCGCACGTGGTTTTGTGTACAGCTTTCAGGTGAGCATAGATACTGTACGGGAAGCGCAGTGATAGTTTATCGTGGGCCCAAGCGGGTTGCGTCAGAGGGGTAAGTGGATTTGTGCTTGCCATTGAGTCGAGTTGTATTCCCAGGTAACCTCCGAGGTAGTCCGCGAATGGTCGCGCGGGGAGCAGGCCGCAAAAGTGAAGTAAATTTGTTTGATGTTTGGGAAACCGAGGGTATTTAGTGCCCGTGATGATGGCTGCTGCTTGGATGAGTGCTGAGTTAAAGCGCTCGAATAGGGGGTCCAACGCATCCTTCCATATAGGCGGAGCCCAGGCAATAATGTTCAGCCCATATGTAGCCGTGGATAGGATGAATGTTTTGAACATCACCAGTCGGTTGCGGGGTGTCGCCAGCTGAAGCCATGGAAGCTATAAGCGCGGAAAGAGTCGATACCCAGTGACAATGCTGCAACCAGGGATTACATATATCTAGCGAGGTTGATTCCTGGTACTCCGTGAGAGAGTGGGAACCCCAGGTATTTGGAGTGTTTCGGTTCGGCATGTGTGGGCGCCAGTTTCAGGGGGAGGTAACGTGTGTTCCAAGGTGCGTCTGGAAGCGTCGGCGTGATAGGCTCACCATCTATACGGAGGGTTGGCGCCGCGTGTTGCAAGTCGGTAGATCGTACTCGGGGTTTAATGACACCCTGTTCGAGGCCAGATTTGCGTCCCCACGCATCAATGTCCTCTAAGAAGGGCTGGAGCGAAACCGATCGAGGGGCTTTGCTCCGTGTGTCATCGACAAATAAATAAGAGCGGAGGAGCTTGGGCCGAAATTGTGCTATCGTGACAGCTAAGGAATCCATGTAGATAATAAAGAGCTGGGGGCCCACGATTGAGCCTTGTAGGATGCCATTCGTTCCAAGGAATAGAGATGAGAGCGTGCCGCGATATGTCACTCGGGTAGGGACCCTCTCAAACAGCGCGCGGAGGCAGTTGATCCAGTTTTCGGGTATTCCAGCGTGACGCAGAAGTACCCATAGGCGTGTGAGAGCGACCTTGTCGTATGCCTTGGTTATGTCCAGACAGACGTCGTTCCACTCCTCTTCTGACTGTGTCTCAGATTCCATGGCGGCAAGTGCTTGGGTATGACAGGAGTACCGTGATTTTAAGCCAGCTCGGGTAGCATGGGTAGCAGAGCCGGGGTGGCTCGTAATCAGATTAAGAAAGCACTTTTCATAAGACGCGTCTGACTTTTGCGTAAGCGTGATGAGGCGGAAGTCGGCGGGGGAGGTGATATCTGCATCGGCTTTCTTTGGGTGCGCTGTCAGGAGGCGGCAGTTGAGGGCTGCAGGGAAGGTACCCGCCTTCAGTAGCTCAGTGAATGCTTCGGCAAGGAGTCAAATCAGTGGGCTATTGGCGTCGGGGCGTCCTAATGTCCGGTGTTCGGTAGAGCACTCCACTGTGGCCTTCAGCGTCGGGGCCAGGTCCCTTATTGGGATAGCGGAGTATTGCCTCCATTACATCGTTGGGGCGTATGGTGGAAGTGACATCAGGAGAGGGTTCGGCATCCGGTGGAACCACGTACGGGTTTGTAGAGTTGAATAGGGCCTCAAAGTAGCCAGCGAGGGTAGCGCCTATGTCATCGGTACCCGGTATG